TTTTTTTTTGGTGTCCTACTGTATCAAAAACAGTATAATTGCTGACCTAAATCATAAATCATCTGTCTGCTTAAAAATTCTATTGTCTGTAGTGAAATCAGGGAAAAATTTGAATATCCAATGAACGTTTCCACTAATCCCCACCCCTTGGATATTTTTGGTGAGGTCCCACAAAACGATAGTGTAAATGTACACACATGCATTGGTGGGTCGAAAGCATATTCCTGGCTCTGTTCTGAATGGTCTATTGTAAGTGGTCACCAGCCAATTTGAGGGGCTTTGCAAATAATATAAGTATGATATTTTTTTATGCATTTGTTAATTGGTTTTCTTATTTTCAATACAAATTAAATAATTCAAATATTGAATTATATTTTCCAAGAATCTGTCACATACAATTTGATAGTGTGAACAGAGCTTAAAATAAATCTTAAAGGTCTGTCCACACTGTCAAATTTTATGTCACATATTTGTGCGATGTGCCCATATATGGATGTGATGATGTCATATTACACCTAAATATGGGCATATCACATTTTTTTTGTCATATAAAATTTGTGTGGGTAGGATTTACACTGACGTATATCTTTGTAAGGATAAAATTGTATAGGATAGCTTTTAGCTGGCTTTTTTCCTTTTTTTTTTTTAAATGACAAGAAATGAAATTGCAATGTCGATTTGTATTGTAATGTTTTCTGAGAAATAACAACTCACCATGGGCGCCCCTGAAAAATCTGTGTCTCCATTTCCAAGGAATTCTTCAAAGTACAACCCATTACCGTCTGGATTGGCTTCGCTTAGTATCATTTCACTAGCTTTGCCTTGCAACACCCGTTTAAATTTTGTTCTAGTTTGATTGAGGATTTCCATTGGTAAAGTACCCTCAGACACATACTGTGTTTCCAAGATGAACAAAGTGCGCGCTACGTAATAGTAGAAACTGTAGCGTGACGGGTAGTAAGTGAGAGCCAAATCGGGACGTTCCTCTATCACGTTATGCTCAATCAACCACTCAATCAAACTTGTTGTATTGGCATAAATTGTCTGAAAATAAATAATTTATACTAATTTTATAATTATAATAATATATACTAGTGGATATAAATTTTAAAGAATTTAAATTTTCAATTTACAATAGTTTTAAAATTTCATAAGGTATATTTCTATAAGTAATTTTAAATTGTAATAGTTTGGATAAAGCGGTATACAGTATGTTCAGTGTAACAATGAAAAGATACGCACAAGCAATATGTGTTTTCTTGCATTATATATATTAGAATAATCCTAATGTGTGACATGCAAATTTTCTATTAAAATAACAGAGTTATAACAATAAACATCAATGAAAATAATAATGTGAATTGCTTTTTTATTTGTTAATTACAGGTTTATGAGAAAGTGAATGACATAGCTCATGAGATCATTGACAAAGAAGGTGAGATCATGTACAAAGTGACCATGCCACAATAGTGAGATAAAATATGAGATCATTACTTAGCAACTAGTGTGAGACTGACACAACGATGAACAAAAGATAAGACAGTGACATGATTTATGATGTATTTTAGCAATTTGTGAGATATTGTTACAGCCCTGGAGAAAGATCTTTTGCTTCTAATCCATCAGATAATGATACTATCATAATCTGACCAATATAATGTATTTACTGCACTTTATACAGTAATACAGTACACAACAAAAATATGAACAGTCGTACAAACATTTACAAATACAGAGCTACCTGTATTTCCATATCAAACCAATTGCTTGATGATAAGTTGAAGAGTACCGCTGTAGTAAGGCCATATATAGAATTTGCTGCCACAGTCGTATCCACATTGTTGATGTGAAACGGCATACTAACTCCTCTAGAACTGAGATAACGTTCTTCAGTGATGTTTTGAACCTGTAATAAATAAGATAGAAACTTTATTTCATATTAAAGATGTTTGATTTTTAAAAAATAATAATCTATATCTTACTGGGAATATATCAGTCGTGGAATCAAAGAGGGCCTATGGTCCGCCTGCCCCCCACCCCAAAAATTGTTTTTTTTTTTAAATGGAAATAAAAAGTAAATATTCAAATTTCAAGTTTGAGTGTGCCATTTCTAGCCATCTAGAGATGATATATTCATACATTTTCTTACCTCAGCTAAGGTGGTATAGACCCTCCATCTGTGAAAGTCCCTTCCTGGGCCTCCTTTATTTTTAATTCCTGGGCTGCAGACTTTGTGGATTGACTTCTTTCAACTTCGGACCCATGCTGTAGGCTTAGTTTGACTTCAAGTACACTGTACTTGTAATGGCATACACAGTTACACTAACCATTAATCATTGGATTTGATTGGATTTTTTTTTTTTTGGTGAGGACATCACCAAAGTATGAAGACTTATATCCAGTGGGGACCTTTTGTAATGATTGGTGAGCACCCTCCCCTACACTTTTCCGAAGAGTTTACTACGTTCGTTGTGACCAAAGAAACAGTTTGACCATTTTTCTTTGCTTCTTCAAGAAACCCTCTGAGGTAGTAGTAAGTTCTCGTGTCAATGGCATTCGCATCCAGATCAATATTCATTGGTCGGTAAGCGTACTTCTTAAGGTCTCGAAATGCAGTTTCGTAATGCGTATTGTTCTTAGCCCAGATATTGTAGAGTGTGGGAAACGATGCTTTTGTGCTTTTCAACAAGGCTCCTAGACCAATGTTGAGGAAAGTGTCGTCGAAGTCGGAAGGAATCAAAAACGCACTAAAATATCCGCTGTTAAAAAGAAGTCACATGCAAAACAATATTAAGCAATATGTCTTGAAATATATGGTTGTGATGTGATGTCATCATGACCATATTTAGGCATATCACATGTTTTTGTCAAATAAAATTTGATAATCTGGATAGAGCTTTTGAGACAAGCGAGTACAAAATGAAAAAAATTATGACGACACCAAACGATGAAGACTTTAGTTGATCGAAATGTAGATTAATATGCAGACAAAATAAACTCAAATAACCTTACTGTTGGAAAAAAGACAGGAACAAGTGGTTTAAATTAATTGAAGTTTATTATTAGGGAAGCAATGTTCTTGAATATGTTTAAGGACTGCCTAAAAATGCATCTTTTCACTATTTAATTTGTCAGTTTTTTTATTTATTACATTTTTAACAGCACTTTGGGAGATAATTATAGGGCGCTATTATTAAAATCCTATATATATTATTATTATTGTTATTATTATTATTATTATTATTATTTTTAACTTAAGATTAAAATAGAAATTGTAAAATATTTATTGTTCGACTTACTAACTTTGATCATAATAGTATCATTTATTACTTATTAATACAGTCACCATCATCATTTGAAAAAAACGAACAAATGAAACTTACTTTGCTCTTTCAAAAAATTCCAATATCTGTAGTCCTGCTTCCCAATTGAAATATTTAAATATTGATTGTAGAAGTTTGAATGGTGTATATTTTTGAATGAATTGAACACCTTCAAAAACGTTTTCTGGTCGACTGATCCACATGCCTGATGATTTGTTATATATCTAGTTAACATCAGGAAAAAAACCTCCTTAAATTCAATTACAGAATTGCATCTTTTTTGATATAATATAACGGGTCCCAAATTGGAAACAGTCAGTTTCTGGGAGATCTGCAGTGGCTGATCCAGGAATTTTACTTCCACAAATTTATGATTATGGCACCTCTACATGGCCAGAAATGGCACTCTCAGACTTAAATTTGAATATAATTTTCTTTTTTTCTCCATTTTTTAAGTAATTTTGAAAAAGGCCTGGGTGGGCTGCCCCCCAACCCCAAATCTGCCATCAGGTTAAATAAACTTTCTTAGCACATTTAATTTTATTTCACAGCACACAGTGATGCCAATTAGCACTGATTTTCATGACACCATTGATAATAAACGGGAAAACATGCAAATATTATGAATTTGCAAGAGATTCTTGCTTGAGTGCGAAAGTTGTCCCAATTTTCAGGAGACCGCTGCAAGTTATGGAGGATTTGGGGCCCTGTAATATTATATGCGTTAATGTTGTTTATCTGATAAACAAATCAGTTGTATTAGCAAATGTGTGGAGTTTAGATGTGCATCTATACTGTATAGTTCTTTTTGGTCTAACAGTATGATAAATGCCTTGTTAGCAAAAGACTACATTTTCGAATCCCACCAGAGACACTTTTTTTTCACACAACTAAAAAAGGAATTTTTTATGAAGGACTATGCTTCATACAATTAATTGTGACTTCAAATGTTACTATTCAAGCACTATTATTGTTATACTGTTGAACTTGCCTCAGTTGAATCCAAAATGGCATTGAAAAAATGTAAAAATAAGATTCAATTATTCAAGGTAGGCAAAGTCGATAGGCAAGTTCAACTGTATATCTATTCTTTGTTTATATTGTGTTTACAGTGCTATGCAACAAACTTAATTGATGATTTGTTATATATCTAGTTAAAATCAGGAAAAAAACCTCCTTAAATTCAATTACAGAATTGCATCTTTTTTGATATAATATAACGGGTCCCAAATTGGAAACAGTCAGTTTCTGGGAGATTTGCAGTGGCTGATCCAGGAATTTTACTTCCACAAATTTATGATTATGGCACCTCTACCTGGCCAGAAATGGCACTCTCAGACTTAAATTTTAATATAATTTTCTTTTTTTCTCCATTTTTTAAGTAATTTTGAAAAAGTTAGAGGCCTGGGTGGGCTGCCCCCCAACCCCAAACCTGCCATCAGGTTAAATAAACTTTCTTAACACATTTCAATCAATCAATCAATCAATCAATCATATTTTATTGTCATTGTTCAGGAGAACATAGAAATTTTTTTTGCTCTGTGGTAAAAACACACATATATATATATATATATACAGTTACACAAACCTGAGACCAGAAATTCATGGCTCCATTTCCAGCTGGATTGTTTTTGTTGTGAAATAAGTTGATAGCTTTCAAAGCATTCATCATTTGGTCCTCATCAGGTCGAGATGCATTTCCATAAGAGTATGCCTCAATCAGTGCAGTCGTGATCCATAAAGTTGAGAAAGAGTTTGTATCGTAACATGCAAGGTAGTCACGGCTGAAAGCAAGAAACGGGGAACCATGCCAATTGATGCGTATATCACTCCTGTATGCGCCCTTTGAGGTTCCCCATGACATAGGAGGGGTGTAATTTTTATTTTCTACAGCTTGAAAAGAAGCTACTCTCTTACTTAAAGCAGCAATAGTGTCCGAAATTGGTCTATCTGCCACTCCTAGGCCTAGAGAAATTATAAACAGAACTACTGACAACTTCATGATTATATGTCACTGCAGTCAATGTTGAAAATACTTGGACTTTAGATACTGTATTGCATTCATTATTACTTATCAGTAAGTCACATGGCAACTGTCTACTGTCAATAATAGTCAATACAGGTCCAAACTCATGGACAGTAGTGATGATAATGGAATGATAATTGCTGATAATTATTGTGATGTTGATTTTTATTATGATAATAATAAAACATGCAAAGTGTAATTTTTAAATATCAATCTAATGAAATATGGATAAATAATATTTGATTCTATGACACTTTCCACCTAAACAATCCATTTCAAACCCTCGGTAACTTGTAATACTTTTTTATATTCGATAATTTTAATATTTTTCAATTTGCTTTCATTGGTTTTTATGTTAATACTGAACCACTTTAGAAATTAATGCTTCAGCCCTGCAAGATAGCATTTAGTGTTTGCAGACTATATAATATTCAAATACGGATTCAAGGTTGCTTGGGGGCGGCTTGCCTGGCCCCCCTGAATATGTCAAAATTATTTTTAAAATGGAGAAAACAAGAAAATTATATTTGAGGTGCCATAATCATAAATTTTCCCATTTTCTCCTCAGCCCCCTCTATTTTGAATTCCAACTTTTATTAGTTACAGTATTTTCTCAATTTAAAAAAATGAGAACAGATGCTTGATATTATATGATATAATATCAGTAAACTATGCTGTATAACAGTGGATATCTGTGGCAAAAAAAAATAATACAATTCTCCAAGGAATTGCACTTTGGCTCCAAGCAGTGGCGGCACCAGTGGGGGAGCAGGGGGAATCTTCCACCCTTGGACATGCCCGAACCCCCTGTCATCGACGCCACGACAAGGTTGTTGGTTAAAAAATAACAAGATAATAATTTGCCTATCCAAATAGCATTATTTTGATTGGCAGTCCTCAATTTTGTGGTCTGAATGCAAAACTTGGATCATACTAAGACATAAAGACTCTTTGACCCGGACTGAGGCTCTAGTCGGCCCATTGGTTTGGACCCCCCCCCCCATTGAACATGTCACAACCCTTGTCAGCAAATTTCTGAAGCCATGTGAGATGGTTGGTAACCATATTGGTTGGTTCCTCCAACCTCCCTGTGTAAATCCTTGTCAAAGTACTTACATAGTTTATGTGCTTGACAAAAAGTATGAATAACAAGAAAATGAGTGACTGAAATATACAATATTTTTATTATTGTTGCCTTCATGTACTGTATATATTTCACCATTGTTTAAGGACCTGGATTCAAATTGTGACATTATTATATTGTATTGTTGACAATAAGTATTTCTAGATATTAATTTCCTTAAAACTTGACTACACTTTATTATTATTATTATTTTTTTTAATTTATTCAATTATTTATATATATATCTTTTGTTTTACTTACTTGTTACTCGTTCCATTAACCGTCATCATGTTGAAGACACTTGACTGTTATTCTGCCCCACCATGTAACTGACAATTTTTAAAAACCAATTTTTTAGTCAATATCAAAGAACTAATAATTTGGAACATGTTGATATATTTGAATATGCTGAAATCCCACTAATTGACAAGTAATTAGCAATACAAAAACGAAGTAAGAGACCAGTATATGTGTGAAAATACAGTAAAAGCCACAAAAGGATGCAAGGGACAAACTGACCAATCAGCATGATCCATTTATGCATGAATGGTTGCACAGAAAGTACAAATTATTTTTTTGAAATCAGTATGTTTATGTGTATTATAGCTTAACTCATCAAAATGGAAAAGATAAAAAAGCCATAATACAGTAACATTTCTGGTAGTAAAGGTTGACTATAATAATTGTCAAATTATAAAACATCATGAGTTTTGTCTACTACTAGTACCAGTAGTTTTGTCCCAGTGAATTTAATGCACTTAAAAGACCTCACAACCTTACAATCAAATTTATTGGTGCACCCCTTGTATTCCGTTTCAATTCAGTATATGGATTTTTGTAACTTTTCCATTTTGATAATTTAAGCATACACAAAGACCTAATTGGATTAACAGTGATAAGAGCCGACTCCCTTAGTTACTGAAAATGTCACTTGCTTCCGATGGCGGAATTTTTACCGTAAGAATGATTGACCATTGACTTTTTTTTATAAATGATTAAATACCTATTTATATTTTATTCTTTGTTTTAAGTAAATACAGATAATTTTGTAAATATTTTAATGATAAACACGTAATAATGAAAGGAATAGATATAATTATTTTTAATGATTTAAACTATTAGTGTATAACATTAAATGATAGAGGACAATATGATGACGCGTTTCGTGGCCGTAGATAATATGACTTGCATTTTATTGACGCTACGCTACATTGGGAGTTACACGCAAAAAAAGTAAGTTTTACGAAAACATCGAATTATTATGAGGATTATAACAATAACCAGCATAATTTCACAGCTTAATATTTGAATAGAAGTTCATATTATACCAGCAAATTTTACGCTATCAAAGAATAGCTTTTGAAAGCGGTATACAGTAGTTAGGTCTCAATCTCAGCCTAGCTGTATTTTGATGACGAGGCAATGTCAGGCCTAAAACATTTCAATCAGCAATAGCCATAGGTTGTAATTCACTTTTTTTGTATTTAATACTGTGGCCTACTAGGATACTGCAGAAAAAATGTGTTTTAGCAGCCTACAAGATATTTATTGTATACTAGCATTGAATACTGGGAAAATGCACAGGTGGAGCTCCCAAGTCTCACACCAATAATTTATTTTATTATGTATTATTCCCATAAACAGTCTTGTTAATGTTTTGGTCTAATCAAAACCAGCTTCCCCTCCCCCCACACCCCCATTTTCATGCATCATACATTTTGTCACTAATATAACATATGCCAATTTGGAATAGAGGGGCCCAGTGACAGACTTTCACAGATGGAGGGTCTATGCTATCACAACCCCACTATGGTACTTGGGGTTGAGGTAAGAAAATTTATGATTATGGCACCTCTAGACGGCCGGAAATGGCATTCTTCGACTCAAAATTTTAATAATGAATTTTCTTTTTATCTCTCTTCATTTTTTAAAAATTTAGTGGGGGTGCCTGGGCCGGCTGTGCCCCCTCCTCCACCCCCCCCCACTTTGAATCCGCAACTGCATTCATAGGTCTTCAACTGTCAAACCTTTTATTTATGAAAGGTATACCATGTTATTGAGAAGGACATCTTTTGTTTATAGTGAGCCATATTTCTGAAACAATTTACCCTTTAAACCTATGTTACCAAATACCTTGAAATTTTAATAGAAAATATAAACAATTGTTGATTCAAATGTATGCATCTTAGTTTTGTTTATCAATATTATAAGTGGTGGATAAAACTATTAAGAAAACCAATTTTTTTTTCTTGTCTTCCTGATTTTTATTCAATTATTGTATATGCAGTGGCGGACCGTCAAGGCAAGCAAGGTATGCAGTGCATACCCTAGCTAAAACAAATAAAAAATATATGGTAGAACAGTTTCTCCGTTTTATTTAACACATCTTAGTCAGAATCTTCTATATAAACCTTCAAGTGGATTGCTACAGTTTATTGGAATAGCAAAGTTTTTCAATGTTTGGCCTAATTTGGTATCTAGGGTAAGTCAGAGTCGGGCCTATCGCTGGATCGCATGGCACTCTCAGCTACGTAGAAGCCAATCACGTATTCAGTAAGTCAATGGGCATCAGAGCATACCCTACAACGCTTAAATTTGCTATTGTGACAACCGTGTGATGGCGTCAGAATAGCCAATTTAACACTGGAATGGATGCAGTGCTTCCAAGTGTATGTGCGCATGCTCTTTAATCGAGACCTCCACTGCCGATCGGGTATTCTATCGACAGGCTTAATCTCAATGATTAAAGTTTAAATAAATTTGCATACATATGACTGGTATATAAGAAACTTTGAATTATGATTATTTGAATTGAAATTTGTTAAAATACTGGAATAGGAATTCTTTTGAAGAAATTTGAAGAACCATGCTGGTATTAAAGATAACATACCAGTACATTTATATTTTGACTAGAATGCAATCTGATTCTGCATAGTAGTACTGTAGGCTTAAAAAATTTTCCTACTAGCAGGCCCTATCATCAATGTAGGGGTCTTGAAATGAAAGGGAGCTGATGGGAATGGGAAGGTGGGGGATCAGTGATTAGGTGAGGGGGATAACTTGTAAAATAAGGTGATTTGACATGGACGGGGTTGCAACTGGGGGATAGGCGAGTATTTTTTTTCGGGGGAATATCCTAGATATGCCAATACCTAGCATACCCTGCAATTTACCCTACGGTCCGCCACTGTGTATATGTTACACCCAGAAGTATTTTATAATTTTTTTTTGTTTATCAATGTATTCTTTTATTATTACTCATGAGCATGTCAAAATCTACTGGAAAATATCCTGTTTATCAAATTCATGATACAGTGTTTGCTGTTTTTACTACCGTATTATCAATTGTCTCCCTGACAGGCTCCCTGAAGAAAGCTTAGTTAACTATATTCCCTGAATTGGCTTCTACATTTTTCCCTCCAATCTTTTTATTACTATTTGTGTCACAAATATAATGTGTCTGGTCATGTATTTTATAAAAACGTATTTAACGTAACCTGGATTGGAATTGTTTTTCTTTTATAGGTACTGTATATAATATTTTTGCATCTTTAGTAGATAAAACATTAGTTCTGAATGGTACCAATAATTTTTTATACTTTTTTATTAAAGGTGGCTACATCCTAAAGTTCTGTGAGTTTTCTTGCAGAACTTATTGTCGCATCCCTCCATACAATTTATATGTTTAAATTACTGTATTTTATACTGCATCTTTTTATTACTTCAATTGCAAGGAAATAAAATTACCATATATTTAATTTGATTTGATTTGAACAAGTAATATTATTATTATTATTATTATTATTATTATTATTATTATTATTATTATTATTATTATTATTATTAATATTATTATTATTATTATTATTATTATTATTATTATTATTATTATTATTATTATATGATTTAAGGTTTCAGAAAATTAATCATGGGCAATGAAGAGGAAATCAAGAAGGTAGACATTGCACCAGCAATGATGCCTAAAGCATATAAGGTAATTGTTATTCCTTCAAAATATATATTATATTTTCATCT